CTAAATACCCACTCTTATTTGGGGTCCAAGACATATTTCATACATACAGCAATCCTCACAACAATCCTTCCAATTATCTCAATTTCATGAATTAAGAGATGAGGCACATAGAGTAGAAATGGCATGTCCAATGTCACATAGTTACTTAGAGGAAGAATCAGGAACAACCTATGCTTCCTAATTCTTAATTCAGTTCTCTTTCCACAAAGTTCCTGAAGTGATACAAAAGCGGGGAGGAAAAGAAATCTAATGATGATAAATTCTCCAGAATTTCTAGTTTTTCCTGAAGTTTATCTGGTTATAAGGAGTATTTCCAACAAACAGGAAAAAGGAATGCAAGACTAACTTTTCGTTAAGTCAAAACAGAACTTCTAAAAAGACATAGTTGTTCCCTCTCAGCCACCTTAAAAAAGGGGGAAAAGGTCAGAGCGCGGGGGCCGCCGAGAGGAAAGCTGGAGGCCCGGGTGGGGAACATGTCGGAGTCGAGTCGGAGCTCGGCAGGAAGTGGGACCGGTGCCTGGCGGATGCGGTCGTGAAGATAGGTACTGGTTTTGGATTAGGAATTGTTTTCTCACTTACCTTCTTTAAAAAAAGAATGTGGCCATTAGCCTTCGGTTCTGGCATGGGATTAGGAATGGCTTACTCCCAACTGTCAGCATGATTTCCAGGCTCCATATCTTCTACACGGAAAATATGTCAAAGAGCAGGAGCAGTGACTTCACCTGAGAACATCCCAGCGGGAGGACAAGAGAAATCATGTTTATTCCTCAGGAATACTGAAGTGCCCTGGAGTAAGCTGCCATTCTTCTGTAACAATGTTATCAGTAATGCTTTAAACTCCAGCACCTTGTTATGTATTTGAAACCAAGTCTGTTTCTTGTTTTGTATTTTCTCTCTGGAAGTTGTAAGGAGGTGGTCTTAAATAAATTAAACAAAAATAAGAAAAAAAAAAGGGGGGGGAATATAGATTCCCATTTCCCAACATAACTCCACTCCCATCACCACCACCACCAATCACTACCACATGACAAAAGATTAATATCTAAGAGCTAGCTTAACCTTGGAGAATTTTCTTGAGAAGCAAATATCTTGAGAGTTGTATCTCTTTGACTAAGAAGTAGTTCTATTTGGGTAGGGAAATAATATCAACACGTTTGCAGCCTGGGGAATGACTGGAGGGAAAGATTTGTTCACCACTGCATCCGCAGGGATGATAACGATGCCGGGCACATAGTTGAAACTCCACAAATAATCATTGAGTGAATAAGTGAATAACTAAATGAATAAATAAGTGATAATTGTATAAAAAGATTTCTTTCCTTTACAGGACTTGCATAAAATGTATTTATAAGTATCAAAGGCAGAAAGAGGCCACACAGCCAGGTCAATGGTGTAATGTGCTAAAAATATCCCTATGGACATGAACTTCCTTTGGAGTGAAACAATGATGGTGGCTGATGGCTCACCTAGAGTTATGGCACCTGTGTACCTAAATCTAAAACAGATACCATGGTTTCATGAACTCAAATGTATTTTGGCAATAATGGTACAGAACACTGCCACCCCTAGACCTGAGCAAGTGATGTCCCTGCTCAGAGTTCTGTGCCTCCACCCCAGCCATCATTCAGGTGTTCCTATCCCTTCCCCATGAGAAAATCACAGGACACAGAAGACATGACCCTTTAGAGTCTAAATACCTCTTCTTGACCATATTCTGAGTACTCAGGATTTCAGAGTTCCCTGCACAAACATCCCCAAACCCACTTTTGAGATCTGCATGGGCCTCTCTCAAGGATTATCTTCCCAGAAGCAGATATCCCACCTGTGTACACAACTCTAGGCCCAGTGGGTGGCCAAAAGATCACTGTTTGCCTAGACTGTAGACATGTGGGTTAACATGTCCACATCCTTGTGTATAAGGCTCCTTAGGGTATGTGATGGATTGAGGGACAGGAAAAGAAGGCGGGTAAATCCCAAGGTACAAACCGAAGGCTGCAGAGTGAATCTCCATAAAGCAGCACATTCTAGCACAAAACTATAAAAATCAAGAGTTCAAAAGTAGATCTGGGTATATGTAGGAATTTAATGTACTATAAATGTGGTATTTCAAATCTATGAGGCAAAAGTGAATTTTTCAGGAGGTGGTATAAGAACTACTGGCTATCCATTTGGGGGAAAAAATAAACAGATGTAGATCCCTGTGTAAAAGTTGACTTATTTTGGGACACACTCCTTTTAACCATGTAGTTCAAAACAGAGCTGCTAACCTGCAGAATCCTCACTCCTAGCCCCAGCCACCAAAGGTAGAACCCAAGCTGGGCTAATCCAAGCAGCCTGCACTCATGGCCACCACTGATTAGTCCAAGGAAGAGCCACCTAACTCACACTGAGCCAAACAGAGCCCTTCCCAGGACACTCAAACTTGGGAAAAGATAAAGAGAGAAAAGTGCATTAAGTCCAGCTCCTCTCAAGAGCATACGTAATATGTGAACATAGGAACTGTAAGCAACCATCCTTATAAGAACTACATGTTTACAAACTTCCTTGATTCAAACTCTCCTCCTATTACAGACTGCTTCTGTCTTCTTTCACAGCTAAGCTATTCCTATATCCTCATCTCATAGAACATTTTTTGAATTCTCTATCTTGGCACACACCAAACCGTTTAGAGTGTCAGTTTATTGTTCATTCATATTTTTGACAGCAACCCTTTCCAGATTTAGGGCTACATCATCACTAAAATCAGTCTCTTGCCTCAAGAAGCCTATAGAATGGCAGAGGAGTGGAGTGGTTGGACCATGTGCCCTAGAGACAGACTGCCTGGGTTGCAATTTACCAGTTATTGACTTTGTGACTTGAGCAAGATACAGTCTATGACTTTGCTTCTTCATCTGTAAAGTGAAGTTGATGATAATATTTATGAGAATTAAATGCATTCATTAATGTTTGGAATCACACCTGGCACATAGGGATCAAGGACAGCTTCTTTCAATTCCTTTTTAAATTGACAAATAAAATTGTGTGTGTATATATATATATATATGGTATACAACATAATGTTTTGAAATATGTGTATATTGTGGAACGGCTAAATCAAGCTAATTAACATATGCAGTACCTCACATACATATCGTTTTTGTGGTAAGAACACTTAAAATCTACTTTCAGCAATTTTTAGAAATTTCTGTTGCAGCTGGGTGCAGTGGCTAACGCCTGTAATCCTAGCATTTTCGGAGGCTGAGGCAGGTGAATCACAAGGTCAGGAGTTCAAGACCAGCCTGGCCAACATTGTGAAACCCCGTCTCTACCAAAAATACAAAAAAACTAGCCTGGGTAATGGCAGGTGCCTGTAATCTCAGCTACTTGGGAGGCTGAGGCAGGAGAATAGCTTGAACCTGGGATGTAGAGGTTGCAGTGAGCCGAGATTACTCCACTGCACTCCAACCTGGGCAACAGGGCAAGACTCCGTCTCAAAAAAAAAAAAAAAGAAAGAAATTTCTGTTGCAAATACATTATTATTAGCTATAGTCGCCATTACAATAGATCTCTTGAACTTATTCTTCCTATCTAATTAAAATTTTGTATCCTTTAACCAACATCTCTCCAATCCCTTTCCATTCCCCTCACAAGCCTCTGGTAACCACAATTCTACTCTGCTTCGATAAATTCAACTTTTTTATTACACAAATAAGTGAGATTATGTGGTATTTGTCTTTCTGTGCCTGGCTTATTTCACTTGACATAATGTCCTCCAGGTTCAACTGTGTCATCACAAATGGCAGGATTTCTTCCTTTTTTAAGACTGAATAGTATTCCATTGTGTATATATGCCATGTTTTCTTTATCCATTCATCTAAGGATGGGTACTTAGGTTGATTCCATATCTTGGTTATTGTGAATAGTGCTGCAATAAACATGGGAGTGCAGATATCTCTTTAACATACTGATTTCATTTTCTTTGGACATATGCCCAGTAGTGAGACTGCTGGATCATATAGTAGTTCTATTTTTGGTGTTTTGAGAAACCTCCCTACTGTTTTCCATAATGGCTGCACATTATGGAATTTACATTCTCACCAACAGTGTGGAAGAGTTCCCTTCTCTTCACCTCTCGCCAATGGTTGTTATCTTTTGTCTTTTTGATAATAGCCAACCTAAGAGGTTGTGAGGTGATATCTAATTGTGGTCTTAATTTGCACGTTCCTGATGATTAATTATATTGAGCATTTTTATATACCTCTCAGCCATTTGTATGTCTTCATTTGAAAAATGGCTATTCATGTCCTTGGCCTATTTTTTAATCAGGTTATTTGGGTGCTTTTGGTATGTGAGCTTCTTAAACATTTTGAATATTAACCCTTCATCAGATGTAGAGTTTGCAAATATTTTCTCCCATTCCATAGGCTTTCTCTTCACTCTGTTTATTGTTTCTTTTGCTGTGCAGAAGCTTTTTAGTTTAATATAGTACCATTTGTCTACTTTTGCTTTTGTTGCCTGTGCTTTTGGGGTCATATCCAAAAATTCCTTGATCACAAGAGATGAAAAGCTCTCTCCTGGGTACTATGTTCACTCTTTGGTGGCAGGATCAATAGATGCCCAAACCACAGAATCACACAATATGCTTTCATAACAAACTTGGACATGTATCCCATGAACCTAATTTTTTTAATGGTCTCAACCGGGTATGTAACATTGCAAAATTATGATGATGATGACATTTCACCTTGGTATAAAAAGAAATGTCTGTTGAAAATAAACCCCTTTTCAGAAAGAGAGAAAAAAAGAAAGAAAAAGAAAGAAAGAAAAGAAAGAAAGAAAGAAAGAAAGAAAGAAAGAAAGAAAGAAAGATAGAAAGAAAGAAAGAAAGAAAGAAAAAAAAAGAAAAGAAGGAAAGAAGGAAGGAAGGAAGGAAGGAAGGAAGGAAGGAAGGAAGGAAGGAAGGAAGGAAGGAAGGAAGGAAAGAAAATAAAGGAAAGAAGGAAGGAAGGAACTCCTTGCCCAGATCAATGTCATGGTAATTTTCCCCTATGTTTTTTTCTATTTGTTTTACACTTCTTTCACCTTTTTATGACCGGTGCTTAGCCCAGTACCTGGCACATCAGGACTCAATAAACACTTGCTGAATGAGCAAATTCTATGGTTTTAAATTGTAGTTTAACTATAATAAGTGACATATCCTGGAACCACACCACTCTCGTGAGGAACAAAGGCTTCAAGAAAATGGGTTTTACTAGACTCAAAGTTTGTGTTCTGCTCCCCCTGCAGCCCCTATCAGTGTGTCTCTCACAGCACAGAAGTACAAAGCAGAGTCGCTCACAAGGACAGATGGTTTCTTCAGGTGGAAAGAGGTTTGGCTCTTGTTAAATTCAGCTTCAAAGCCATAGTTGCCTTTAACCAGGTTGTCCCCTGTGATGTATTTCAGAAGGAACTGGAGGCCTTGGTTGGGGTATTGAACATACCAAAAAAGATAAGGGTTTCCAGAGACTGAATAGGTGCATTTCCCAGTCAGAGGATTCCCTTCGGCGACCGTGACCTGATCTTCTGGCTGAGTCACCAACTGAGCTCTCAGCCCACCTGTAAATTAATCCAAGCTGCATCAGTGAAGCTGCTGAAGAGCATGTAAGTGGATCATGCGAGTGGAAAATGGGAAGGGGATATTACTCACTCAATGTGAAGAGCATCGCAAGCGTCAAGATGCGTGCAGAGGCCATGGCTCCAGCTAAGCTTACGGCGGGCGGGGTGGGGGGGTCCTTTCCAGTCCACCTCTGCTGGAGATACTGCCCCACCCCAGAGAGTGGGCTCTTGAAGAGGAACCAGCACCCTTGTGTCAGCACGAGGCTTCTAGAAATGGCCCTTCCTCAGGGCACTGGTGCTTCCCGGCACCGGTATCTTCTCTCTGTGGAGCACACTTCCGGTCCAGCTCCTCAAAGCTCTGTGGGGAGCAAGACTGCCGCTCCTCCTGTACCAGGACCTTACACTGCATCGCCCCCTAGAGCCCACACGTAGGACCAGCAACTTTACTGTCAAGTAGCTGGTGCTTCCTGGCCTTATCCCCGGGTCAAGCTTTGGGTGGGCTACACGCTCCATGAGGGACATAGGGAGCAAATCAGGGGTTCAAAGGAGAAGAAATAGAAGTTTGTGAATCAAAGTGGAAAAGATTCAGGCTGAGTGGACCAAGCTGTAAATGATTTGTGCTCTCTTAATGTAGAGGCAGAAAGAAGGGAAATAGGATGGGAAAATGCACAGAAAAGGAAAGGAAAATATAGCTTTGCATCAAGAGGGAGAGAAAAATTTTGAAAGAGAGATAAGAAAAAGCAAAATAGGAGAAAAGAGTAAGGCAAGAGAAGATAAATGACAAGCGAAAACAGGAGCCTTGCTCTTCTCGTTAGAAGTAATTCATAGCTGGCTTCTGTGTAAACCTCTTTGACCAAACAATAACTCAGATTTTTCTCTAGGTTGGGCCTATTAGGAGCCCATCCCATAATGATCTTTAGTGCAAAAAGAAACTTGAACCTTCTCCTTAAACATTTTTAGAGAGAGAAAAGTAAGAAAATGTTTTATAAACATTTTTGGAGCATTTGTCGTATTAAACAGTAGATATAAAACAAAAAATGAAACTCCGAGAAGGGGTTGAAAAATAGGTGCTTTACACATGCAGAGGCTACTTCAAACAGACTTCAAATGAGGTACATATTCAGTAAAAAATGTGTGGTTAACTGAACTTGATATATTATGATGGTGAAAAGGTGCTTATTGGAAAGGGAGGACATGCTAAAGTTTTATACTAAAAAAAGGCCGCAATAGAAACAGAGTAATTCTTTGATAGATTTTAATTTTAATGTAAAAATCATGTATCTATATAAAGAATTTGTTCCTCTGATTTGCCTTCTGTTTCTTTTGAATACTGTGCAAATAATGTTCAGTATATATTCTAAGGAAAGGATGAAAAATCTCTTTGCTTTGAATCAGAAAAAAAGTAGAACATAATTCTTTCTAAAAGGTTTGCTAAGCATCTCATACTTTAATAATTGAAAACTTAGCCATATAATAATGTTTTCCTTTGGAACTGGTAAAGTGTCTTTAAACAATAATCTTCAAGTTCCAGAAAGACTTGTCATAAATGGAAACATATAGTTAATTTCTTCTTTCTTCTCTCTCTGCCTCAAGCCTAAAATGAGTGTTAGTGTTGTCTTTTTGAGGGTCCTGGCAATCACCTCGAGAAAATCATTGAAAAAAAGCTTAACAAAATGAATATTTTTAAATGTATGTGCAAAATTTAGGGAAAACTACAAGGGAAGGTGAAGCACCTGGGGCTAATAACAGCCAGAAGATTTCACCACTCCTAGGCCCAAAGGGATGGGAGAAGATGCAATTACCCTAATCTCAGGACACCTGTAACTAATCACAGGCCAAAGGAGACATGACCCCTTAGAGTCTAAATACCTCTTCTTGACCATATTCTGGGTAGACCCAACAGGAGCTGTGGCACTACAGTGTATACAGAACTGTGCAGGACAACCTTAAAGAAGGGTCACGTATGCTTCCTCTTCTCAAGAATTTCATTTGATTAAAAAATAAAATTAGGCCAGGCGTGGTGGCTCACGCCTGTAATCCCAACACTTTCGGAGGCTGAGGCAGGCAGATCACTTGAGGTCAGGAGTTTGAGACCAGTCTGTCCAACATGGTTAAACCCCGTCTCTACCAAAAATACAAATTAGCTGGGCATGGTGGCACGTGCCTGTAATCCCAGCTACTTGGGAGGCTGAGGCAGGAGAATCACTTGAAGCCAGGAGGCAGAGATTGCAGTGAGCCCAGATTGCACCACTGCCCTCCAGCCTGGGCGACAAGAGCGAGACTCCATCTCAGAAAAAATAAAGAAATAAAATAAAATAAATAAGATCAACACACTTTTAAGCAAGCAACAACCCAAAATATAATATGCCTAATGAAGTAATACAAGCACAAGCATACCAATTTACACTTATACCCAATGGAGATATTTGGTTGTTATTAAAAATTTGCATTTAAAAATCAATCTTATGGCACCTTGGCAAAGTTTCATGACAATTGATATTACTAAAATGTCTTTTTTCTTCTGTCATCAGCAATCTGTTCTTCACCTTTTTTCTTTTTCTTTTTTTTAGCAGGGTCTCACTCTGATGCCCAGGCTGGAGTGCAGTGGTGCCATCTTGGCTCACTGGAACCTCCGCCACGCGGGCTCAAGCCATCCTCCCACCTCAGCCTCCCAGGTAGTTGGGACCGCAGATGCACACCACTCCTAGCTAATTTTTAGTATTTTGGGTATAGATCAGGCTGGTGTCAAACTCCTGAGCTCAAGCGATCCACCTGCCTTTAGCCTCCCAAAGTTCTGGGATTATAGGCATGATCCACCACACCTGGCCACTTGCAAGTATTTAATATAGAAAAAAACTACTCAATGGAAATGTTGTATCTGGTTCAAAATGTGTAAAGGAGAGATGTGAACTGTTTTAGATCCCCAAAGGTGTAGAAGTCACAGGAACACAGATGTTTCCTCAACATAAAGCACAATTGCTTTTCAGCTCACAGCTACCTGGAGTTTGAATGGACAACATGGGAGCTGCAAGAACCCTCCTGCAAGAAGGTGTTGTGAAAATATTGGCAATTCCCTTGATGTGATGCTGTTGAGAAAATCAAGCATCACATGGGCAGATGGTCTAGATTGTCTTTCAGAACTTCTCCTCCTGAGATTCAAGCTTTTTTATTTTTAGTTTGGTGTCTTTCTGTTGTAGAGAAGCTCTGAGAATGGGTGTTTTGTTTTGTTTTGTTTTATGGGACAAGAATAGAGGGAAAAAAAAAAACATGTGATTGGCAAATTATAGGCACCCAATAAATAACTGTCAGATGATTGAAACTTTAAATAAGTACACAGAGCTACCAGAAATCCAAGTAATGAGAGGCCGTCTTATATGCAATGCAGTAAGAGTTCTGTTTCCCTTCATTCATCACAAACGGTTGTCCTTCGCAGAGAGGCTTCCTCATCCAGGGATCTACTTAAGAACTGGCTTGGCATTCTGACAATTCCAGGAGAAAACCCCGTGAATCCATTGATCCTCACAAATCACTTTTCAGTGCCTGTTAAATGTAAGATACTATTTGCATTGAGAAATAAACAGAGGAACAAGACATAATCCTTGCCCTCAAGAAACTTACCATCCATTTTGGTAGATGAACACTTAGGGGAAAAACTACTAACAATCTGAAGTAAAATGTGCAAGAATTATATTAATAGAAAAATCATTACAGATATTTCTTGCAAATGAGAGAAGAAAGAGTTTCATAAAGTTTAAGAAATTTAGCCAACTAGTTAAAGACCAAGTTAGTCTAGTTAGTTCATCTTGTAAAAGGGACATGGATGTATTACACAAGATGATCCTCCTGCATGCAAAAAGAAAATCATAACATTTAGTATTATATTTATCTCAAACTTTCCTAATTTCTATTTTTGTTTGTTATACACACGATCATAAACTATGAGCATATAAATAAGCATATGTTGCAGGAGTAACATATTTTACTGATAATAGCACACAGTCAAACACTTTGGGGATCATTATACTACAGCAGCACAGACAAGGGAGAGAGTCCTCAGTTGAAGAAGTTATAGAGGTTGGGCTAGAATCTGAATAAAGGGAGAAAGAGGGCATTTCAGGCAGAGAAAATAATCTGATAAGACTCATACAGGAGATAATGCCAACAGGTCTTACAGGCTAGAGAACAAACTTATTTGGTGACCCAAAGGGATAGGGGATGTAGCAGCAGAAAGTAAAGCAGAAGTTTCATTGGGTTTATAATATGACAGCTTTACTAAGAAGAGGGTACCTCTATTTAGATTGGCTGTCTTTGTTTTTGTTTCTTTCTTATATATAAAATTTAAAAGCCTGAGGGATTTTATTTATGGAATAATAAAATCAGAGATACATTTTGAGATAATCTGGTAAAAGAATGTAGAACAGTAGGAGAGAAAATGGCTATAGAAGATTATCCATGGAAAAATTCAGTTAAATACTAGAACAAAGATCATGCAAAAGATGTTACAGATGAATTTGTGAGTGTTTATGTGTATTTTTTAAATCTTCTATTTTATTGTTCAGGTGTTCAAAACTGAGTCCAAAGGGAATGCTATTCATCCATGAGAGTCCTATTGACAGTGTCTTCCCCTTATGTGGTTTAAGACAGTATTATCCCTTTCACCAAAATCATCATCATTTCATATGTTTCGAAGAAAGCAAAGTTTTAAATCATCTGTAAGGGGTATAATTTCAATACACAAAAGTAGATGCTCAAGGAGGACAAAAAACCTTTTATTTTTCATAACTATATTTAATTTCTATTTAAAGCTATTTCTACCAGGTATCAGAAACCAAATCTCAGTCAAACCAGAGTTTTCCTACCTTTTCCTGAGATTACACCTAATTTCTAGGCAATTTATGTAGTTCCAAGATATCACAGGGAAAATAAATGTAAACTGGACCTTGAGATCATTATCTATCTACATAAGCGTCTGCAAAACATTTTAATTCACATCTGACTTTCAATCTCCCCACACAGTTTATTGCTGTGTTCTTGTCCCAACTATATCCACGCTATCTCAAACCTCTGAAAAATACTACATTTTTTATATCTTCTCCCTGTGCCTCTCCACATTGTCTTCCCTCTGTGCATGTCTGTCTCTGTGTTCAGATCTCCCTTTTTTATAAGGACGTCAGTCAGTATTGGCTTAAGTCTCATCCTATTGACTTCACTTTAATTTTATCACCACTATAAAGATTCTATTTCCAAATAAGGTTGCATTCTGAGGTACTGAGGACTAGGACTTACCCATGTCACCTACTTGAAAAAAATATCCTTGTGGGGGGCAAGGGGCAGGGAACATAATTCAACCCACAACGCTAATCCTTGGAAAAAAATGAAAGCAACACAGCCTTCCAAATACCAGCCATTCTCTGTGGCGCCATGATTTTCAGAAGGTACAGATGATTACGTAGGTGGTTTTCATGGCCCTGTCAAAAAAAAAAAAAAAAAAAAAAAAAAACTAACAGTGAAGTCAGATGGTGTAGGACACAGTAGCAAGCCACGGCAAGCCTTTCAGATTTCTCATGGAGCCAGTGACAGACACAGATACCTTTCGATTTATAGATATGAACTCCCAGGCTTGGGAGTTAAAAAAAAAAAAAAAAAATTTTATTCTCCTGTGGATGTTTCTGTCCTTGTCACCATTGGGGAGCTTCAAAATATTATACCTTTAAGAGTGGGACTTCGTGGCTGCTCTCTTTGTTGTAAGAAAAATGCATCAACTGCATTTTCCTCTTATTTCATTCTCTTTTTCCATTTTCCCCTTTGGATAATAACGCCTTTAGAGTTCTCCATGTGAGCTGGAAAAAATCTGGTAGAAGACTAGTTGTTGACGTTTTGAATTACAGAATCAAAACACCAGAGTAAAACGTAGAGTTTTCAATATACCACATGTACAGACTCCTTTGTGAACGAAAGAACTTCCTTATATAACCAAAGGGAATTTTCTGTCTCTGGTCCCTCTTGCCAAAGCAATGAGGTCACACCCGTGTTCATAATTTATTGAGCCACTACAGTGCAAACAGAACTGTGCAGGACAACCTTAAGAAGGGTCACATATGCTTGCTCTTCTCAAGAATTTCATTTGATTAAAAAATAAGATTTTTTAAATTACGCTTTGGGAGGCTGACACAGGTGGATCACTTGAGGTCAGGAGTTTGAGACCAGTCTGGCCAATATGGTTAAACCCCGTCTCTACCAAAAATACAAATTAGCTGGGCATGGTGGCATGTGCCTGTAATCCCAGCTACTTGGGAGGCTGAGGCAGGAGAATCACTTGAAGCCGGA